TTTGAGACGTTGCTTAACCCATAAGCAGTCGCACGTGGGTAAAAATGACCCAAGCCCGACATTTTGTCAAATATACTTTTTCGCTTAATCCCTACGAACTTCCGGTTTCATAAATTCCTTAATTATTCTTACCTGCGTCAACCCATACCAATTACCTGCACTTTATGTGAGCGGACAAATATGCATTGTTTTTGTAATAATTTTTTTTTAAATACAAATTTTACTTTATATGATATTACGCTTACGGGTTAAGTTGTTAGGTAAAATGGGTTTGACTATATACAGGGTGTCTCAGAAATAAGTACATTAATTTTAATCAGTTATAGAGCTCATTGAACTCAACAACTTTTTTTAGTAGAGTTTTGTCAAGAACTTTTTAATTATCAAGTTAAAAATTGTTAAAGTTATACCCCAATTAAGGTTACCCGCCCATGGATCCTCAGTCACCCATGGACACTAATAATTATTATAATTAATAATTTATGGTCGAAAACAGTTACTAGGATACGTATTTTCCTAATCTTGTCAATGTGACAAACATTTAGAGAGAAATTGAAAATCCTGCTCCCTAATGGCGTACGGAATTTCATCGGCCCAAGTGTGGGTGTTGAACACCTTCCCTCGTGTAACCCACCTCATCAGTTGATGGTATAAGAGATACAAAATTTGCTTGTTCGTTTATTTTTCTATTAACCCACTCACAAAAGTTTTGCCTACGTGGTAAGTCTGTTAGTTTCAATAACTGAACTTTCTGGTCCTGAAGGGGGTACATTTGTTCTCTGAGTATCCTCCAAATACTACTCTCCGATACATCACACTAGACAGTGATACGTGCTAGTGCCCGGTCGAGCTTCGACACTCTTCAAAACAGCCTCTTCAATATTAGCAATTCTATTACTACGTAACTTACCCCGATTCTGAGGTGCCGGTTTAAAAGATCCGTACTCTCGAAAATACTGCAACGTTCTTAAAACTGCGCACATTTGGCAGACGATTTGGGAGGTTTTCTGAAAAAATTCGTTGGGCGCGAGTGCCGTTTCCCGGAGCTTCACCTTACGTTAAAACGATATCGGTGCATTCCAGATTTGAAAACAAAGCCATTTCAACACATTTCGTCTATAAATTAGAAATCTGTGCCAAACAAACTTTAAAGAGACAACGTTTAATAAAAACATTGACATAAAAATGATTGTCAGTGTCAAAACTGTTGCTACGGTACCTTCTTCATTGTTGTAGTGTTGCTATTATTTAAGTTATTATTTAAGGTGAACATAGACGGCTCGTGAATATATGGGTGGGAAAATTCGAAATTCGACTTTAGTTTTCGAAAAAATGCTAGATAAAAAAGTTGTTCCGTTTCACGAGTTCTGTTACTGGTTAAAATTAATGTACTTATTTCTGAGACACCCTGTATTAACAAGACGCCTTTGCCAAGACGCACTAGAAAACTGTTTTGGATGGATTAAGAAACAAAATGGAAATTCTATTAACCCCACATCTAATCAATTTCAAATGGCTTTTAGAAAATTAATCATACAAGATTATTTTGATGAAACGAACACAGGTAATCAAAACTGCGAGCCTGATATGGAAGAAATTTTAAAGTTAAATGTAGGTCGTCGTTTTGATGAAGAAGAATCAGTCACCACGAAGCAGAAGACCACCTTAAAAGATTGTGATTATCATTTTCACACAGCTGAACAAAACGCAATTAGATATATCTGTGGCTACCTAATTCGGAAATGTTTATTAGTACATAGTTGTAGTGAATGTGAAAAATATACAAATGAACATAAAAGTTTAGACAACACAAGCATATATTCACATTTCAGAGCCTACCAAACGAAGAATTGCGAGTTATTTGGTAAATTACATATGCCAAACGATAATTTCTTTTTTTTACATTTGTGAATTAGAGCAAATTTTTAGTGAAAATTTTGAAAATATAATTTTACAAACAACTACTTTGTTGAAATTTTTAAATTTATATAAACAAGCTACATTTGTTCATCCATGCCAAAACTTTCCATACGATTATTTGCTTGCTTTGTATGCTAGGATGAGATTATTTTATGCACTAAAATTTGTAAATGCTAGCTTAAAATTTACAAATGCCAAAGGTGAAAAAATTAATAGAAAGAAAATAATTAGGCAGCATTAACTTTTTTCCTTTTTGTAATTTAATTTTTATTTTATTTATTTTTTCTTAAATAAACCTGTTTATTTTTAGATGTATTTATTACATTATTTTTACAATGATAATTAAACCTCAAGTATTCGGGGAAAGAATGTGCGAATTGTCAAATTGTCTAAGTAATAAAATAAAAACTGTAACAAATCATCGTGTTTATAAATTAAATATCGACTTTTCTTTTTTCTTATTGCGATTCACGATTATACGATTTGAGCAAACTACACAGTTTGCAATAAATTGCGTACACGAATCAATTTTTCAAATTGTAAATGAAGTGATACTTTTTAAATTGGGTGGCGACATCTAGGAATAGTTTAGGCAACGACCACCCATGACGGCTTAAAATTCGGGTTAGAAAGAACAAAGGCGCCGACACGAGCTGTCTCTACTGATTGATATCTATACTGTGTAACAACTTTAAAACTGCTATAATAATTTTGTTGTAATTTAGTTATTTAATTGTCACAAACTGTAAATAATAGGTATTATCCTAAAACATAAATAGAATGTTTTATTCGTATTTTTTTTTTGCTAGCTTACTTTATATTTTATGCTTATCTACAATGTAAGTGAAAAACTATTTGGTGCTACAGCGGTCAGTTATTATTGTTATTAATGTTTTGGAAAATTCCGAATAATTCGCTTTGGTTTTATCGCTTTTTCTCGTACGCGTCACTCACAAAATAAAACATCAAAACTCGTTTCTGATCAAATTTAAAGTTTGTAAATTGCAATTCACCAAATTACCAACTCGAGACAGCTTCACCTGTACATCGAATTTCACAATTTCGCCATCCTCAAGTTCGAATGTGTCTATGCCCCATGACTGTATGAACATGTAGCACCGAATCGGTTTCCCAACTCTCCATAGACCAACTTCACTAAAGTAATTTGGATCCAATTTATCTGTTTCGCGAAGAATAGAAACCGGGCCCTCTTGTCCCTTAATATAAGCAAACTAATTCGAAGTTAGCAGTGCGAAACGACTATACATTAATTAATTATTGGCAGGCGTCTCGGGAGCTAGGTCGAGACAATGGCTCTTTCGGGAAGAGCAGGTCGACCCTTTCGAACATTGTTAAAATTCATCTCGCGCCATATTACGGTAACGGTTACTCCGTGCTCACCAAACAACCAAGTCTAATTATCAATTAGAAAATCATAACACCTTCTCCCCTACTATTTGCGCTCAGATAACTCTGCGAGACGGAGAGTGAAAACGTTTCAGTCTGTAAATAAGTTGATCGAATTTTTAAATGATGAATAGAGCCGAAACTGTGTGCTCGAACTGTTTACTTTGAAGAAATTCCGGATGAAAAAACGAGCGAAGAAGGTCAGATCAATGCAGCGATGTGGATGTGTCAATCTCGACAAGCTTTTAAAAGTTGATTAGCGCAGATGGAAGAACCGATCTGTCAATTAATTATACGGAACTCGGAAAAACACACCATCAACTGAACCAAATATTTTATTCATTGTAGGTATTATACAATTCATGCAAAAGTATGGACATTCTGAAATATGTCTGTTAATCGCAACTGTTTGAAATTTTTCATGGATTGGGCAGAATGTCACTTGAAAAGATTGTAATTTAATCAAAGGTTTATTGTTGTAAGTTTTTCAGGTAAAAAACTAAATTTTTACATTACTTGCAATATTCACTTAAGACAAACGCATAGCAGATCATCAACATTCTTGCAAGAACACGTATTAAGTAATTTGAATAGGTACAGTGTAATACCTACTAACAATAATACAGTATTGAATTTCCAAATTTTCGAAAAAGCCGTTCCTAATTTAATCAATAAAATAAATTGACCCATTAATTAATTTTTTTCAGTCAGCCTGTATAAGCAATTCTAAAAAAATATGAATGGAATGATAAATCACAAGTATAGAGTTATCATATTTTGTATATTTTAAATAGGATTTATTTGGTAAAATTTTGAGACGACGTCATCAGTTTTTAGAGGGTCGTCGACGGATACATTTTGGTTAACGATTTACCATGTTTCTGATAACTTTAAAACGTTTGCAAGCAAGTGTGTATGCAATTTAAGTAAGAAATTATAAGCTACTGTAATTTAATGTACTATTTAAATGATGTCCCATCTATCATGTTCACTTGAAAAGATTGTGGACATTAATGACTGCTTTGAGGTTAAATAAGAAATGATCGAAGCACAGAAATTTAAAAATATAATTAAATCATTTCATCACTCTTCAGTAATATCGTATAATTAGCTAATATCTCCACTACTTCTCTCCAGTTTGTAACGCTATGAATAACCTAACTCTCAACCACACGTAATCTCTTTTCGATTTAATTATTTTATTTTACGCTTGATGGAATGACGTTGAAAATTTAAAATAAACAAATATCTCTGCAGAACGAAATTTGTATTGGAAGCGTCCACATCCATTCAAGCCAAGGGTTTTAATTCCCACATGTGTAATCTGAAATTCTGCAGTGGTAAAACTCTTCGACAAGAATTCAGACGGTTGTAACGAGAGTTTAATAGCAGAGTAGGCGCAATTCTCGCCAAGTGGTATACTCTGCTTGTAAAATATTTACCAAGAAGGAAAACTTGCAAACTGTAATGAAGTTGCAGAAGCATTTTTACACGATGCAAAGCTTTGTTTTCCTCTTGGAGTTTCAGATTTCTATCAAAGTTTGCAAGTTTAAGCGGTTAATTAAAATTTTAAGAATGCGATGGCTAATTGCGTTCTAATGGCGCGAAGTTGAGAAAGAAAGAGTTTGTGATGAGCTAAATGTTTTAATAGATTTTTTAAATTTTCTTTTTAGGTGGGTTGGATGAAAGCTGACGATCAGACGATTCTCAGTTTGCACACAAGAGTGATCACGCACAACCCAAGAATCAGCGTCACGCACGATGACAGTCTACGTACGTGGCAGCTTAGGATTCGCCAGCTAAAGGAATCAGATCGTGGCTGTTACATGTGCCAGATAAATACAGGAGAGATGAAAAAGCAGTTAGGATGCGTTGATGTGCAAGGTTTGTTTTTGCAAATCCTATTTATCAGATATTTTATTTGCTGTCCAATTTCACTCTATACCAATATTTTATTCATTAAATGTGTTCAACCTAGCTGCCAACGCGATTGCACTGGAAATAAAACTGTATCGAAACACTTTTTTGTTGTTTGTCAATAATAGAAACAAATGAAACAGAAATAGCTATCCACAAATGGCACAATATTATTAAAATAAATGTTCGTTATGCGTGAATTTATTTGTAAGCAAAATTTCATATAAAAATGTTTTAAAAGTATGTGTTAAATAATATATATATATATTAAAAAGTGCTAGTACTATCTCATTAATTAATGTCAACAGTTGCAAATGCATAATCTAACCAACTCCATTTACCATCACATGAAACTAATTACTAGAGTTTAAATTTTTCAATATCGGAAATTATACACTTTCTGTTGTCTACAATTATTGAGACATTAATACATGTAAGATAAGGTGCGATCAAAAATAAAACACCTCTAGTTACGACTAGATGCACAAATGTTTGTTGAACATATGGCGTAACTAAAATCGTACATTGCACATCTGTCAGTTTCAAACTCGCTGTGTCACTTCTATCATTGCTCTCATTCAGGGTGGTAGAAGTAAGGTGTAGAAACCTCAATCACAGCTTTCTTTAAAATGATTGGTAGAAAACACAAATCGCGTGGTTTAGATTATATGTCATTAGATTTCCAAACCGCAGCGACATCTAGAAAGATCAGTTGAAATTAAGTAATAGAAAACTGCATTAATTCTTTGACATCTATAACAATATCATATATTACCCAATTACAAATGTCGAACAGTCGAACGATCCAATAATCACACGATTCTTACAAAAGACCAACGAATCTGTCATTTAATTCATTCATAAATACACCGACAAATTGAAATGTTAATAGTACATAGATGAACATAGTGTGCAGGATACTATCTATTTCATAGTAAATAAGCCTACTGGGATACGTGTTTTATTCAGCAAACTGGAGCGGCTTGTTTTCACACCTTACTTCTACCACGGTGCTCTCATCTGTAGACTATCTGTCACTATCGATCTAACCTCAAATTATTGTTACTATGCCATACCATGGCCGACTAGTATAAAGATTATGGCCTGTCCAAAGGTACCATACGTGCTGCCATCTATTAATAATTCAAAAACGACAAAAGAATTATTAACACTTTTTGAAAGGCACAAAGGCATTCATACCGAAACAAACGACCATTACACGTTTTGAAGTCTCATAATATCAAATCAAATTAAATTTTGCTAAATTATTAAGTGTAATTATTAATAGATGGCAACACGTATGGTACCTCTTGGACAGGCCATAATCTTTATACTAGTCGGCCATGGCCACACATACAGAAAACATTTTAGCATCAAGAAGTATCTAGAGGGGTTTTTTATTTGATCGTTTATTGTCTGTACCCCGATTACCTATTTATATTTAATTAAAATAATATTTAGTATGTACTAAGAAAAAAAGACGTGAGGTGTCGTGGGACACACGAAGTTCCTTACTTTTGTATATTATTTATGAAATAGTACAATAATAGTATATTAAAGAACGAGTTTCATAAGGCAAATATTGAGGCACGAATCCAAGTTTATAGAACGAGCGGCGAAGCCGCGAGTTATATAAAGGATGAGTGCCTCAATGGCCTTATGAACGAGTTATTTATACTATTTTTTCTACCGCACACGTTTTTTCCCAAAATTTAATTGAAATTTGCATTTTTTTTAATCTGGGGACTTTTGTCGTGGTTTGTGATGGGTCGGTCTGACACTAACCACGAAATATTTGAGGTTCGAATTTTCACAACAACAATTGTAATTCGAACCAATTCGAGTTTTTGCAATTTAAAATTGGTTAAAATGTCTTGCGAAGAAGTTACGCGTTCGGAAACATGGGAAATTTTAAGTTTAGATTCGCCACTGACATTCACCTGTCATTTTTCGTCATTGCTACCAATTTTACCGATCTAAATTACACCAGATCTATTAAAGAACGCCTTTCCGCTATTAACGAACTGCTGTGACGTCATTTGCGTGCGTTAATAGCTCTATTAGAAAACCAAAAAACGTGGGCGGTAGAAAAAATAAATAAAGGAATGGTAATAAAATTGTAATAATAATTAACAAAAAGTTCTGGAAATAAACACTTTATTACTAACTACCTTTTCGCCGGCGGCTTCGCTCGCGTTGAAGAGCATTATTACCAAACCTCAAGTAAAAAATGTGTTGAAGGCATATATCTAATAGTACTATATTGCTAACTGGCCTCAAAAGAGTCCGAAAACATAACGGCGGAGCAATATATCGGACCTCTCTGTCTCTCTGTGGTACTAAACAGTACTGCGCATACACTCATACTTGGTTGATTTGTAGTCGATAGCGTGATTGGAGGCGTTTTGACATTTCGTACTTTCACTTCTATTTTGTGTACATGCGCACAGACCCTCGGTACTCTTATAGACAGAAAACAACATTTTCTGTCTCTCTCTGTCCGTGAACACCGTTTCTATGTTACTTCTGAAGAGTTAGCAATATAGTAGTGTTAGATATATGGTTGAAGGGCATTAATATCTACAATTGACCACTCAAGTAAGGTTAGAATTTACATTGCGCGGCAGTTCATAATTCAAAAATTCTACTATGGGTTTGCGACGAAATTCCGGATGGGAGGGACGGACGGTCCGGTGACGGTCCGGAATCTCGCCGATAACGTATGGGGTGGCGGCGTACTTGGGTGCCAAGCTTTGGGTCGACTAGTATCGCTGATGTCAGAAACACGTCTGGTCGACCAAGCTTATGCGGCTACCTTCACGCCGCCGGGGGTGGCGCCTTCGGTCAGGAGCGGCGGTAGCTCGGGCGCCAGCTCCCTCTCCGGGGGAGGGAGCGCCGGGGTGCTCTAAAGCCGGAGACACGGAATTCAGGTGATGAGCCGCCGCGAAAACTCGAAAATAAGAAATAAAACGGCGAGGATGTGTTATAACAAAAAAATAGGGTTTATTCCCTGCCACCAGCTACACGGTCTAAAATAATAAAACTACGGCTAAACAACTTAAATATCTAACAAAACGGTTTTACAACAAACTAAAAGAATTAAACATCCGGCACGGTCGTTCCTCCCGGGCGGCGACTTCCTTCAGGCCGGGCTCCTCTTGGCTCTGGGGGCGGCGACCTTGAGACCTGGAAATCGCGCGAAGACGGTACGGCGACCTGGGAGGGGAGCGCGGTGACGGTAACGACGTGTGCACGATGGTGTCGACTTTCGACGGTGACAAAAAAAACGCGGTGACGGTGACACGGTTTCTCGCTCGGGGGCGGCGATTCGAAAACCGGTACAAAACAGGCAGGCGACCCAAAAAGGTACTTACGGTGGGTCGGAGGGTCGAACTGCTCACTTGGTCACACTTCTCCAAAAACTTCTCAATCCCCAAAACTGCTACACTTCCGCACTCTCTGAAGTTGCAGGCCAGAGTCCTCTTCTTCCGCCGCGGCGGCGCGGCGATCGCGAATTTACCCCCGGCTCTCGCGGTACGCGTCACGGTTTCCGGCCCGCGAAAATTCGCTTCGTTACAGGTTTCTTATGGGAGCTTGATTTTACAAACAAAATACACCGCACAAGTAGAAATCTTAACTAGTTCATGCTATAAGCGATAAAGACTGTTCAATTATCTTCCTGTTACTGAAGGTTTTTAACTATATGAAAAGCTTCTGTTAAAGAAATATCGCAAATTAAAAACAACGATGTTCATCAAAGTAACGTACATCGTTTCTAATGCCTTGCGCATGAGTGAAACGGAAAATCCAGAAACACGCCGGACAGAAAAAGAACGCGAATATTTTGCGGGGCTAGTGACGTTTGGATCGTGAAAATCCCCAAAGTATGACAGTTGATTTTGTATTTTCATCACAACAAACAATCATAATCACAATTTTTGGATGATATATTAGTTCTATAATATTTATTCACATTAGGTTGTATGTATCTGTGGACTGCTTTTTTTGTATTTGTTATTAATAATGACAGAAAGACATGTGTTAACAATAGGGGCAATTGCCATTTTTTTTTGTTGGAGAAAATTCTTTACAATCAAATAATGTAGTGAAAGTCAATTGGTATACTGAATTAAATGTGCCTGAAGAGTTTATTCGAGCTAGAATGTGAAGTAGCCAGGTATAAGGTTATGGTAAGTTAATATATATTGATAAATTCTGTATCAAGTACAATTATGACGTATTTTGTTTATTATGCATAGATATTCCTTAAGAGAGGCAACATGTGAAACCCCAAGAGGTGCATTTGTATGTCACCATATGGCTACACCTGCCCTACACGGACGTTATAGTATATTTTGGACCAATAATTTGCGTGCTTGGGATGTACATCTGAAGAAAAGTGAATCAGCTGAGGTCAGAGCTGTTGTCTCTGAAAATTCTTTTAATCCCCAAGTCAGCCTAAAAACAGCTAATGTTGAGGTACAACTTCATGAAAGCTTATAGACAAACTGATGGGAGCGAAGCACTGCTTTGGCTATTGGGCCCTGAACCAGAAAGATGTGAAGAAAATCTACTTCACAGTGTCCGAGGACTATTTAAATGGCCCATCAAGATAACAGTTTGTGGGTCAGTTTTTCCCCAAAAGTGAATCAGATTATTTTGCATTAGGAAGTGCAATTTTTTATTGTAGAATATTTTTTTTGTTTTGAAATAAATTGTTCCTTAAATTGTAATTTTTTTTAAATGGGTGTTTCAGACTCAATTCGTACTAAAATGAAAGTGATTTTTACTTGTACATGAAAGGTTTAATCAGGAATGCTAAGTTTTTCCTTTTCTAGCAAAAATGTGTGAAAAGAAAAAAGCTTGGGATTGATGATGATTCTTAAATCAAAATTTGGCAATTGATTGAAAACATTTGCAAATATGAGATCTTCTTTATGTATTATTTTAAATTTCCAGCCGTATCT